CACATATTCAATCTCCCGCAGACACACATATTCAACCTCCCGCACACACACATATTTAATCTCCCGCACACACATATTTAATCTCCCACACGAGCAGACGCTGGCTTCACCTAGCTTCATAACGAGATCTTGTTAGCAGTATGGCAGCAGCTTGAACCGTCCAAATGGCTTCATCATTACCGCAGCCAAAACTCGCAAACACACAAATCTCGCACACACAGCTTTGAGAATCCACGAGAATCTAAGACTTATTAAGGAAATGTTGGAAAGGAGCGGGTGACGTCAGAAAAGTCAACGGGGTTACTGAGCTTAGTCTGTGCTTTGATCTGCGGTCACACTGGAAAAAAGAAAAATATTGGTCACATTTGTCTACTGAAAATGTACATAGATTATGCTTATTGGTTTAAGGTTTTGTTGCTTGAATGTAGTTTGTCATGTAAGATTTTTTTATTAGTTTTAAGATACTTCATAATCTTATTAGAGAAAAAAGTCTGAGCAGTGAAGCTTGCTGTAAGTATTTCACAACTCAAGTATTAAGACAATTTTTCTTTAGATATAATAAGTTTGTGATGCAATATTTTAAGAAAACATTTATCAAAAATCAAAAAAAGTCAATTGGTGACATTTTATTTTCAGAAATCTTCAGTCATATTTTGATGTTCTATTGACAGCTCATTTGTACTATTTTAAGCAGTGTGTTACTTATTTTCATATATATATATATTTAATTTTTTACAGTGCCCATAGAAGCCAAAAGTGATGTCACATTAGTTTGAACGGTCGAGGTATAGGTGTGACTAGGTCCGTGAATATTTACAGTCTATGGTTCAAACCTTCTATGGGGTTCTTTTGGGCCCAGAGCCACTTTTGGACCATCCTGTAAAGACGGTTTCTAGAGGAAAGAAGACGCCATATAAAAGCATTGGGTAATTCTCTTTCTGGGTACACCCCCACCTGCCCGGAGCGGTATTGCAAGTGTGTCAGCCATGGATGTATTATATTAACTGGATAGGGTATTACTAGCTTGTAGCTGAATAACTCATGTGCTCAGGGGATTCTCGCGGTACTGCAGACTGAACCAGACTAAATTCACGTGGGCTACCCAGAAATTTTCCCCATAGAACTCAATGCATATTAAAACAGCTCAACCTCAGCTGACAGAGAACCTACAGCTTTAATAAAGATCGGATTTTGTGGGGATTTTAGTGTCCCTTGTCATCCTGAACTTTTTTTCTTCTTAAATCCTTCGGTTTTGTTTAAATCCACACTTTAGTGCCACAAACTCTACTCCTCTGGCTCTCACTCTAACTCCCGCTCTGATGAGCTGCTCTGATTGGTCAGAGCGCGGCCGAGCCCCTCTGTGCACGTGCGTGAGACCCGGTGTGAGACCCACACACGCGTGTTTGGCGCAACGCATTATGGGAGATCATCCACTGCGCAGAACCGGGAGGATCAGACGATGCCCAAATACAGGCGAGTTTCCCATAGATCTTTGCGAGTTTCAGGCAACTTCCGCTAATCTTTCAGCCCCCATGCTGTCACAAAGCGCCACTGAGCACAACCATTCATTTGAATAGGGCGCCATCTTGGATCGCCGGGGCTTGGTGTCAGCGCACATGCTCATGGACCTTTTTGAGTCGTGACCCGCCCCCTGGTTCAAACACACATTAATCAATAACACAATATCAGATAATGACATTAGAATAAAAAAAAAACAATCCCAACACAGACCCCGCCCACTCTGCTCCCACAGCCTTGAACTTTTGACCAAGCGGCGGTTACATTTCTGCACATCTTGTTACAAACAGGTTATTTCTTTGCCTTCCATTACCTTATGACTAGTTTAAAAACATTGCATGGCCTCGCACTAAGTCACCTCATATCCTGTGCTTCCTTATTGAGATACATCCTCCTGGATCATGATCTGCATTCAAATGGATATTCCTGCGATGGAGTCGTCTAATGAACGAGAGCAGACAGGAAATGAGGCCCCGAGTGGAAAGAGCAGAGGAGATGACTTTATGGTGGATTGAAAATGCTGGTTTTTATCAACTTGTTTTTAAAGTGATGTTTATACACTGGATATAATTGAAATCCCTTTGAAAAAAAATATATATATATTTAAGTGAAATACTGCTTAAATGTCAATAAACAAAAAGTATGACTTAAGTTTTCTGAAAATAAGAATATAATGCAATCCCCAAATGACTTTATTCTAGTTCAAAAACAATTCATATAAAGTATTATTTACTTACTTCTCCAACTTTTTTCTGGCTTTTCTCCCACTGGGTTTTAGAGTTTTTCCTTGCCGATGCAGGAGGGTCTGTTGGGCAGTTAACATTCATGGACATTGGTCTCTCCCTATGGACCAATACATATGTTTATATTTTGTGGCTTAACTGTTGATTCTCTGATCTGTGTTGGTGATTGCAATGGTTTTGTTAAGTCCTCTGATATGACTGCTGTTGTGATTTAGGGCTATATAAGAATAAATTGTATTGTATTGTATTGTAAAGTCAAAATAAAAGTTGCCAGAGCCGTTGCCCTAACCTCCTCCTCATCTCCAGCCCCGATCTTCACCCCTTCACTCCCAGCTGCACGGGGGATTAACCTCCTGTGCGTGTTTTAGATTTCAGAGACTTTCCCTCAATCGGGCACAAACCAAAATAACCAATGAGTAATGACTTTTTAATTGCTGCAGGCTTTTGTTTCACTCACAGCCCTGGTCTCACGTTACGGGGCGCAAACACTGACACCCGTGTTGTTGTATGAAGTCCACTGGGGTCGGACTTTCCCAAATCCACACCTCCGCTCCCCACAGACCTGCCCCGTACAAGTGAGAACCGGTGACCAGCCCTCAGAGCCTATAAGCACGGCCACACTACCATTCATTTCAATGTATTTTGGAATAGCCCTAAATCACAACAGTAGTTTTCTTGGAGGACTTAACAAAACAGTTGAATTTGCCAACACAGACCTTTTTATATTACTACTGTAGCTACTTTTAGGATGATCTATTTATTTGTTTTGTTTGCTTGTTTCGGCTGCATTTCTCCTACAGGGAATATTTATATATTTATTTCAAGCCAATAGTGAGAAAAACACAAACAAAAAGGGAAGCATAAAATAACTACACTGAAGCTTGAAAGGGAGTGGGGAGCACCCATCACGATCTCTGAGGAAAAAGTAAATAATAGCTGCTTTCTCGTTCGATTATCATAAAAATAGAAGTAATGCATCATTCTGAATTTCTCCTGCGGGGGATCAATAAAGTATCTATCTATCTAAATGTCCATAGATGTTGTTGAATGTGGAGTGGCCTGGATCATCAACACCGTCCTTTTAGACCAAGACACGATTCTAACAGACCCTCCTGTATCTTTTGATCTTGAGAGAATAATATTTTTTTGTATTAAACGCAGTAGAAAGAACCACCGCTTCTTAATTGAAAATATATATATATAGAATTAACGTAGAGAAACTAAAATGAACAATAGAAACACAGTATGCGGCAGCACAAGTGGGAAATCACATTTATTCTAAGGCATGGTCAACTTGAAATCAAATCCAATTAAAGGTATTTAGGAGGATTTTCTACCTCTGTGTGGATCATCAAGACTGTTGGTCCTTCTAATTGTCAATCATTCTGGTGACATGTCATCAAATAAGACTAGAGACTAAAATTTGGGAAAATCCTCCTCTATACGTTTAATGTATTTTTCAAGTAAAGGCATGACGTAAAGAATTATGTAGAACGACGAGAGAATTGCAAAAACAAATTTGGCGGCAAGACTTCTGTTTTGAAAAAGCAGAAAATTGCTTTGACTATTAAATAATATTGTAAGCATTTATCATACTCTTCCAAGTTTGAAATGATAATATTTAGGCAAAAATGGCAGAGGGAATTTTTAAAACCCACTGCGCTTTGAACAACTCTAAATAAGCTGTTGGTTCCATTGTGACTATAACTTTGGATGTTTTGCTTAAATTTTCATCCTTTTCTGTCTATTCTCTTGTTCTATTTCAAATGCAGTGAACAAAAAATGACTAAATCTGGCGCGATAACCTGAATTAAACATGAACGGAAGGAGGCGGACTAGTCAAGATGGCCGACCCTCTCCACACCCTTGATCTCAATTGGTTTTGGCGTGACCCTGCGTACCATGAAGGAGAGATGTCACACACACATTAAGACACTATAATGGTGTGAAGGAGTGGATGCCCCGCTCAGATGGGCTGAAGAGGTCTCCAGAGGGGGGCCGCATGTGAACGGGACAAGTACTGGTGGCGTAATGAGGCGTGGAGGCGAGAGCTGTGGACGGACTGCTTTATAAACGTAATAGAAGACTGTAAGAGAAGATGGGAGTCCGTACAGCCGCGTACAGTGCAGTGTATGTGTGTGTGTGTGTAGTGCAGTGTGTGTGTGTGTAGAGGGTTAAGACCAGGGCCACTATCAACCATTCTACAAACACCGCAATTAAAATAATAGAATAGACTTGAGTGGTGGATTAAACTGAAGCTAAAACTTGTAATAATATGTCAAAAAAGTTATTTTTTTTGGGTTTTTAAACGCATTGTAAGGTTTGTGCATTGCCTCATTGTGAATCACAATCATTGCATTTTTTGCTGGTTTTTTTCCTTTCTCCTGTGTCCTCATGTTTATTGACACGCATTGCTATAGATGTGTAAATCTGAAATGACAGTGGGAGATGTTAGTGTGTTGTTTGAACCTGTGTTGACGTGAGAGACACAGGAAACAATAGAGGGTCAAAACAAATTTCAGAAATTCAAAAATATTAAAGTTAAGTAAAATATTAAGTTTCAAAAGTCCCAGCTCAAGGTAAACTCCAAGGTAAACTCAGTAAAATGAACCACGCCGAGAATGGACTGCTTTAAAAAGGAAAAAGCAGCACATGCAAATGTGCTGACGGCGAGAGATTAAAATTAGTCAGTCTTCTTTTGACAAGCTGCGTGAGACTAAACACCAGTCGTGTGCTTACCTGTTTTGTAGACCTCGTAGCGCAGAGAGAAGCCTGCCCCCTGGTGGGCGTAGTCGGACACAAACTTGATGTGAAGCGATGGTCCGGAGGAGATGATGGGAGCAGGGGCAATGTTACTGCAGTGTTTACCCAGCAGGTCCCCCGACTCCGAGTTCCCATCATGGATCTCCACATAGTCATACCTGCAACAGAAAACCACCAGTAGGTCAAGAATTAGGATGATGTATTATTTCGGATTTTTCAGCCATTTTTGAACATTGTATACATAGGTGGTTCTCATGTTAAAGAAATGGCCAAAACAAAACAATCATAAATCTGAATTGCAATGGGCTCTGCTATGACTTGTTACCATGGAGATGTTTCTATACTTGGGAAGTACCTCGAGTGGGATAAAAAATGTACATTATTAAATTACAGGTATTTTTCTTTGTCAAAAACTGAATCATTGCATTGCGAACACAAACCAAGTGGTCACTGTCCTCCGATAAGCAACATAATTGCGTGGGCACTTTTAAAAGCATTGAAATAGTCCATCAATCAAAGGAAGTTACTTTTGGATATTGTAACTACTGTAGCCACAGCTGCCCTGGGGCACACTGACAGAAGCGAGGCCCCTCCCAACAGCACCAACCATTCACACACACACCAGGCTAATGCTGATGTAAAGTGTCTTGCCTAAGGACACAACCACAATTTGGCACTTTACTGCTGCAGCCACCCCACTGTAGCATCTGGTGGTCCAAGAGGTCTCCCATCCCAGAATTCACCAGGCCCTGACCTGCTTAGTTTAAGAGGTCTCACAGGATCTGGCTTTAACATGCAAGTTTGGCCCCAGATTACTCATTTTAAAACACACATGACAAGTATTATTTACTAATTTCTTAAACTTTTTTGAGAAGGGTTTTCTTAAAATATAGCATCACAAACTTATTTTATCTAAACAAGAAAAAGAGAAAATACTTAAAACAAGCGTAAAAACTCACTGCTCAGACTTTGTTCTCTAATAAGATTATGAAGTATTTTAAAACTAGTAAAATAATCGTACATGACAAACTACATTCAAGCAACAAAAACTTGAAAGAAAAGCATAATTTATTGTATTTATAGTAATTAAATCTGACCGAGATTTTACTTTTTTCAGCGCACACAGACATCATTATCACATTTCATTTCATAATCAAATGTAAAAGGTCATTTCCTTAAATAAACTCTAAGAAAGCTCCATGTGTTCTCTCAGTGACCCGAGAAGGAAAATAATCAAATTCTGCATGGTTTGTTCTTTAACTCTATTATGTATTTACGGCAATGGCTTTAATTAGAGAAGGAGTCCGGTCTGTACACATCAAAAGTCATGGAGCGGACTCTGCTGAGGTCACATGACAGAGCGACTGAACCACGGCTGAACTCTGCTGCTTCCGGAGTTAAAACGCTGTTAATGTGGAACCAATGAGTCCAGTTTACAGTTCCACATTCAAAAACCTTCTTATGGAGCTCAAAGGAAAAGCCTCTTCCTCTGAGACTGACCCCGGCTTTGATTCTGGATTTTCCCAGAGAGAGGAGCATTGGTTTTCACGCTTTGGTTTGATCGTCGTAAAGACAGGAGATTATGACATTGATTTGATTTTGTTTTTTTAAGACTGGACCAATGTTGGAAAGTTTATGATCCAATATTAAATTCTAGTACTACTTTAAATTTACATTGAGTTCTATGGGACTTTTTAGTAGCCCGCGTAGTCTGCAGTACCTGTGCCCATGGGTGGGACAGCTACAAGCTAGCAATACCCTATCCAGTTATTATTATAGATCCAGATCCAGAAGAGCGCCTTCAGCCCGACTGCCTTCTCTGTTAGGGCGTCTCAGGAGTGGAACCACCACCAGACATCAGAGTACTGGTTCATCACAAAACAGACAATACTAACTTCAACCTAAAAGTGTTTACTGTTAGGTTTTCAATCTGTCCTGGAACAACGGATAAAAAATAGCCTTGTGGCTAATTCTGGAACTCTTACAGTCATGTTCATTAATGTACACGGTCCCTGTCAAATAAACAAATAAATTAATACATTTACCACAAGTAAACTGTTAACTCACTGATTAAGCCTCCATCTTTAGCCTCTATCTGTGAGGCAAACTCTATGTTGGAATGGGATACAAAACTATATCTGCAAATGCAACAACTTCAGAAGACTTTCGAAAAGCACGGGTCCAGCATGCTCCTCTAACAATCAACGGTGCTGCAGTGGAGAGGGTGACCAGCACGAAGTTCCTGGGTGTGCACATCACAGAGAACCTCTCCTAGACCATGCACACTACATCACTGGTCAAGAAAAGTAATCAGCGTCTCTACTTTCTCCGCAAGTTAAAAAGAGCTCGAGTCCCAGCCTCCGTTATGTGCAACTTCTACAGAGGGACTGTAGAGAGCATCCTAACCAGCTCCATCATTGTGTGGCACGGCACCAGCACTGCCTCCTGCCGAAGGAGCCTCCAGCGCATCGTGAGAGCAGCAGAGAAGATCTGTGGAGCCCCTCTCCCCACCATTAAGGACATGTACTCCACCCGTCTCACCCGCAAAGCCGTCAGAATCACCAGGGACCCTACGCACCCATCACACAGGCTCTTCAGGGTAATGCCTTCAGGGAGGAGACTGCGGAATTTACGGAACAGTTCCAGTCGACTTAAAAACAGTTTAATTCACAAGGCCATCAGGAAGCTGAACTCCCTGCCCTCCCTCCCACCCCTCTTCCCCCACCCCCCGCTCCACAATCAAGGATGAGAGAAATATAATTTCAAACCATTCACTTGGTTTGACAAATAAAAAAATCTTGAACCTGAGGTTGGAACTAAAACCTGCAGTCACACAGGCCCTTTGAGGACTGGTTTGACACCCTAACTGCTAATTTACACAGGACATGTTACAGCACATATGCGTTATACGCGCAGCAGACGCGCAGAAATTTTTTCCATGTTAATCTATGATGATATTTACACTTCTAGCGTTATACGCGCGTATGACGGACGTATGCGAACGAGTGATGCGAGACTGCGCCTAATTTAAGATGGATTTCTAATTTTGTGCGCGCAGCAACGCGTCTCCCATTGAAAACACATGTGAAACATGATCTTTCTAGCGGCCCTTGGCTTTAGATCGCATCTACACACACACAGCACTTGTATCTAAACATCAGCAGGAGGAGCAGCAGGTTTTACAGTGATTCTGGACATTGCTTTTTTTTCTTTCATAAAGTCTCGTGTGTGGCCAAACCAGCGCACAGAGACCATGAAGACAAACACATGCATGTGATTTGTGTTACTCTACATCAGTCCTCTGGCCCGTACTGTCCTCTACACTGCTCCATAGACTACACAGGGGGAGCATAAGAAGCCGCAGACCTGTGCACACGGCCGGTGTAGATACAGCATTTCCCAACCGCCACATTTACCAACATGGGAAAGCCATGTCACATAGTGGCCGGTTCATCGGTTCACCTCCCAACCCAAGATAATACTTTTTTTTTTTTTTTTTTAAACCCTGCATAAGGTCTTTAAGGGCTCGCTTTGCTTTAGCTCTTGTTCCGGTTTCTGCAAAGGTGGCTTCAGCAGCAAATCTTTCTCCAATTCTGAGTACCAAAAGCATTTGATGATGTTGCCGGAAGTCTTGTGGTCATTACTGATCATTTTCCATGACAACATGCCTGTTGTCATGGATACAAACAGACTTTGTATCCATGGCAGCTATGGTTGCCTCTGATGTCACATTCTAGAATCATCTAAGATTTAGTAGGCCAAGGCAGATCAGGTCAGGTCTGGTCTAGTGAGTCCAAAGGTGTCAAAGGACAACAACGACATCAGTAGGAGTTGTGAAGTAAGTTTTGTGGTGGGCTAAAAACCCACAACCTTCAGGCCCAACTGAGCCACTGTTGGGCCCAACTTGTCGTCCCAGCTAATACTGCTGGTTTCAGGAAGGATCACAGGTAAGTGTGCAATCATGGCCAGCAGTAGTATGTCTCAAGCCAAAATCCTTATTAGGGATTTTTTAGACAAATGGAAAGAGGCAGAGAGACAACATGATGCATCAGAGAAAGGATGGCGGTTGAAACAGGAATCCTTTCTGACTGATATGTCAGATATGACAGAGTTGCCATGGGCAGAAAGTGAGCGTGATTGGCTTGAGAAAGAGCAAACTTATAAGAGGCAAGTGGATGAGTTGCTTTTGTCAGTTGAGGAAAAGTTGGAGGAAGGAGACCATCCTGATCTGTATGAACTCAGAGAGCTCTTCTGTGAGAGACAGATTCACTTAAACTGCCGAAATACACAATGGCGTCAAAAGGACGCCTGGTACAAGAGAGGGAAGTTATCAGAGAAGGAAATTCAATTTCAGAAGGACAGGAATTACATTCTGAACAAGGAATATAGCAACTACCGCGAAAAATGGAAGACTTTGTTCAGATATAAGCCAACCCACACCAGCCAGGTAAAGCCAAATGTTGGACAGACCGATGAACTCGATGGACAACAAATGGAGAGAGATTTGCTGCTGAAGTCGCCTTTGCAGGTGCATCAGAGAGAAGAGTGTAAGAAACAGGAACAAGAGCAAAAGCAAACTCAGAAGCTTGGTTTGGAACAAGAAAAAAGGTACGCAGAAATGGAGAAAGATTTGCTGCTGATGTCGGCTATGCATGAGCGTCAGAGAGAAGAGCGTAAGAAACAGGAACAAGAGCTAAAGCAAAGTGAGCCCATAAAAATCAAGCTTGGGGAGAGGAGAAAAGTGATTCCCAAATGGAGACAAATTTTCTGCTTAAGTCGACTATGCATGAGCGAAGGAGAGAAGAGCGGTAACAACTGGAGAAAAACAAGAAAAGGTCAGAAGGACCAAGCTTGTGAAGAGGAGAAAAGAACTGCAGAAATAGAGCAAGATTTGCTGCTGAAGTCGCCTTTGCATGAGCATCAGACAGAAGAGCGAACGAACCAGGAACCAGAGCTAAAGCAATCTCAGAAACTGCAGGCTTGGGAGGAGGAGAAAAGATATGCAGAAATGGAGAAAGATTTACTTATGAAGTCGTCTTTGCATGAGCGTCAGAGAGAAGAGCGTAAGAAACAGGAAAAAGAGCTAAAGCAAAGCGAGCCCATAAGGATCAAGCTTGGGGAGAGGAGAAAAGAGATGCCCAAATGGAGGCAAATTTTCTGCTTAAATCGGCTATGCATGAGCGATGGAGAGGAGAGCGGGAGAAACTGGAGAAAAACAAGAGAAGGTCAGAAGCAGCAAGCTTGTGAAGAGGAAAAAAGAACTGCAGAAATGGAGAAAGATTTGCTGCAAAAGTCGGCTATGCATGAGCGTCAGAGAGAAGAGCTAAAGCAAAGCAGAGTTGTGTACAAAAGGCCACCCAACCTGGGTAATACACTGATGAGGACCAACTTACTCACTCAGCCCAAACCTCACTTTCTCCAAAACATACCACATGGAAACCATAGATGTGGCAATTGCATGCAGTGCAACTTTACACAAAAAACGACAACCTTTCACCATCCAAGAACTGGGAAATCCTTCAGAGTAAATGGTATTATAGACTAGAGCCCTGCACGGGCCTATTATCTGGGCCCGAGCCCGGCCCTGGCCCGAGGGGGTGGCGCCCCAGCCCGGCCCTGGCCCGACATGGTTTCTGAATTCTCAAGCCCGAACCCGTATCAAGCCCGACCTTTATTTTTTCTTTAACCTCTAATAACAATGTGTTAGCGTGACAGAACGCATATTCATCGGGTGCGTTCGTAAATGTAATCTGCCGCTCTGAAAATGGGATAATGCTCTGCAGTTACAAAAAACAGCTTTCTATTTTTTCTATGAATAAACAAACGTTTCTGACAGATCAAAGTGGACAAAAAGAGCATGTTAAAATATGGGCTCATGTTTCGATCAGCAGCTTGAGAACTAGTAGTGGAATTGTTTCAATTATTATTTAGTTTTTTGTTAATGAGCGGACAGCAAATCCAAACATAAGGTAGGCTAAAAACAACAAAACGCTTAAACCTTATAAAAGTGTTTATTAGTAGGCTAAACGCAGCAAAATTCAATCAATATTTTTCTTCTAAATAAAGACAACAGCTAATTGCCTGGGCGGCGTAGGCCTATAACAAATCTTCACCTGAACATGGCGATACAGAGCCGCTTAACATGGCAAATGTCCTCCGTTGTTTGAACATCACAAAAGGAACAGTCTATTTGGCATCATGCAGAAAAAGGACTGCATCCACCGTTTCAGGGGAAAGTCCAGTCCTCCTTTCCTCTATGACTCTTCCAGCTGCGCTAAAAGCACGCTCGCTGCTGCTGCTGCTGGCCGGGACACTGAAGACCATGCGGGCCAGACGTGCCAGTAACGGCAATGTGGTCTCGTGTTGCTTCCACCAGCTCAGTAGATCCCTTCCATCAGCTTCCATGGTGGGGTTGAGGCTGAGGTAGACCTGGATTTCATCAGTATCTTCGTTGTCCACTCTGACATTTTCCCACGCGTCCTCAAACTCCGCCAGTGCTCTCCTCTTTGGTGCGGGACCAGCAGCTGCTGCTACTGCAC